AGTATTAATTTTCTTAACTTCAATAGATAAAGTTTAAAATTTTAATTATAACAAATTCAACACTTTGCTAATTCAAACAAATTAATCTTATTAAAACAATTAGTATTAACTACAAATAAAGCTAAAACAAATACAGCTTAAATGATACTTATATTTAATATATTTAATATATTTAATATATTTAATATATTTAATATATTTAATATATTTAATATTTAGTAGAAATAAGTATAGTGATTTAGTAAAATAAATAAAATATCAATCTTCTAAGTAGTAAATTGGATGTTTAAATTTTATTGACAGTAAAAATTTAGATAATTATCTATATAATATTTATAATATAGCAACTGTTTTTAATAATTAAGTTAAGATACCTGTAATGGCAGCACACTAGTATGACTGGCAGATCATAAGGTATCTGTGTAACAAGTTATATAGAGAAATGTAAACTGACATTAGGCAGTACAAACTCTAGATAAATTTTTGTAGCTATATAAATCTATTAAAATTAGAAAACAAGAAGTTCATTTGGAAAAGATTTGAGTAAAGATGTAGCATAGATCTTTAACAGTACTACTGTAAAAACTAGACTTAGAAACAAATACCAATGTGAATAAATTGGGTAGTTAAGAACCTCAGATAAGGAGTACTATTAACCAAGCTATCAAAAGTCTCAAACTAAAGAAAAAAGATATCAGATATTATAATTCTAATATATTAGAGACAGATTATAGTTCTTCTAGACTATCTGAATTAAGAGTTTAATACTTAAAGCAGGAGTATACTATAAGTACTAGAAATATGCTATAAAGTGATACTAGGATCTGAATGAACTTTGCAAGAGCAAGCTCTGTTAACAAGAACTAAATATAATTAGTTAGTAGCAAGAAGGCTTTCTAAAGCCTTACAGTTAGGTAAAATACTTTAAAATATATAACAGCTTGACAGGTATACAAACAGAAAGGTTAAAGTTAGGTTAGATAACACTTAGTTGTACAAAAACTTGTATAGTTATCTGTTAGGTATAGTATAAAGATTAAAGTATTTAATTAGATAATCTTCTAGTAGATTACAGATATGGCAACTAGTGTAGATACTGTAAACAAACTATTTAAATAAATAGTCAAAAGCTGTATATGTGACTAGTTACACACTTACCTTGTACAAATTATATAATTATAATTAAAATTACAATAAAGACAATAGTTACCAATAACTAATAGTCTTAGCAAAATTAAAAAAAATATTTAGTTAGAATATACAACTAATCTATAGTCTATTTCTAAATTAATAAAAGGCTCATCTATTAATTACATTCTCTAATTAATAAAACAACTTTACTTAATTAAACAAAAATTAAATAATTATAATACTATCTTTATTAAACAATTTCTTAACTACTCAAACTATAACATTCAAATTAGATATTATTTTATTATAATATACAAAAAATACTAAGAAAAAAATATTAAAATAGTTCAAAGCAATTACAGACAATATAATCTTATTAACAAACCCATTTATAATACTTAATTATTCTAATTTATACACTTTTTAAAAATTAATATTACTATTTTATAATAGATAATTATAAAATTTTAATTATTTAGAAAAGTAATAAGCAATAACAACAGTTAAGCCAAAATTAAAATTACAATACTCATCTGTTAACTATCTATTAACTAATTCTATATCTTGAATATTATTTTAAAAACTCAAAACTTAAAACAACTTATTGCTATATTATTATTTTATTATATCTAAATTTCAAAATCTAAGTTAACTGCTACAAATAAATTCATGCAAATCTCATATATCTATACTCTCAATACATAATTAACTAACCTAAACAAGACTACAAACCTTTGTTATTAACTACAAAATATTATACTATCTATTAATTTATACAAGTTTTTATAAACAAACAAGAATTATAAAAAATATATACAATAAGTTTTTTTCAAAAGAACTAAACTTTAAACTACAAAAAAACAAATAAATACAATATTCTATTTGCTTAACTTTTACTTTAGTATAACAAACATATCTAGCATTGTGTTAATCAAATTTTTTCTTTTTCAACTTATGCAATGTTTATAATATTTGTAATAATTTTATGATAATAATAGAAAGAATAAAAATTCAAAACATTTAGAAATATATACTAGGTTAGGTTCGAATAATTGTCTAATTAATTAAATCAAAATAATTAATTAATTAAAAGTTAAAAAAATTATATATTATTATTGTTATTAATTTATATAAATATTAAAATTTTAAATATTTAAAAAATAATAATATTTTTTAAATTTAATTATTCTTTTTCTTTTTTTCTTTTGTGAAAAATGCAAAATTTATTACAATTATGTATTTTAATATTACAATTATTATTTTAACTATTTTACAACTAAATTTACATAAATTTAGAATCAAAATAAATTATTAGATATATTGAATCTACTTATACTACTCTAACAAATGCTTCTATTAGCTTATAAGTATCAAATTGAAAACTATAATGAATTAGAACCTAAAATTATTTCAAAAAATATAACAATTAGTCAATTATTATCAACTTATTAGTAAACATTAATACTAAAAATAATGCTCTAAAGTGCATTAATGAATTTCAAGAAAAATTAAAAACAACAATATGTATAACTAGAACTTATTTAGTTAAAAAGACCAAAGTTATCTTTAAAGAGATAAGATATTACATTTATAATAACTTAGTAAAACAAAAAAATAGTAAATGTAAAATTAAAAACTTATATAATTTATAAAATAGGAATATCAATTGTGCTATAACACTTGATTTTAGATTAAAAAATTAAAATTTATTTTATATTTTGCTTATAATTATCTATCTAATTTAACAACTTTATTGAGTTTTCGATCAGTTGACCTTGAGGCCCAAAAAAATATATTGATTTATTTAAGATAGAACATTTAGCAGCTACTGCATGTCATATTTATAAAGATGAATTACATTTGTCAGCATCTAGTTGGATGAACTAGTACAATTATTAACTAATAAGTCAAAAAATTCTAATAGGAAATTGTAAAATATTTTTATAATAAATTTTATATTATGCATTAAGAAAATCCAAATAAGAAGAGAATGTTTGATTGATTAAAAAATAGTATAACTTCCTATAACAAGTCTGTAATGAACAAACAGTACTTCAAGTATATAATTCTTTCAAACAAACTCCTTTTATTCTCAGCATTCTGACAAATAAGTTCATAAAAAAATATATTAAGCTGGTGAACTATGTTATTTTGACACCTCAGCTTCTTTTGATCAACTTAATACATCAATTATACTTTTATATACAAAACTGTGCTGCTGGAGCATTATCATTAGGAATATTTTTGATCTTAGATGAATCTGAAGTCAATGTAGGGAATGAAATTTTACATATAATAAGTGTTAATTTATTCCTATAGCCTCTAACGTTAAGGCCCTAACCCTTAGTTTATTTACAAAATTGGATTTTTTTTTTGGTTTGCGTTGCCAGCTCAAATAACAATAGCGCCGCATACAGTATCCGGTATTTATTGAAGTATCGTACGTATAACAGGATCATTTAATTCGGATCATGAATTACTATTTGATTAGTTCCGGAATAGTTAGAATAATCTGCAGTTGAATAGTACTCCAATACTTTTTCAAGGCAGCACTGTACGAAAGTTCAAAAATATATTATGACCAGTGTCTGAAATTGATGTTCTCAGAGTTCTCATTAGAACACTTATGACAATATAAAATTTTTACTGTTCACTAAAAATAATACGTAATGGTTTCATCTATATCGATATGTATTTTTTAATACTGTAATATAGTCTAATGTAGATTTTTTTTTTTTTGTGAACAATATATTTTGTTTTTTAATATAGGCTAATATAGAATATTTTTATTTTTTTTTTGATCGATATCCGGATGAATATCCGGATTTGAAATTGTTGACTGGATTTCATAGGCATAAGTTTGTCTGATTGGCTAATGAATTCAATTTAATTTTACATTATTTATACAGTTTAGAGTACTTTTAAACAAAACGAATACTAATCATAATGAAATAAAAAAAAACTGTATAGAAGGTTTCATTAGATCTTAGTTTTGGCTATAGAGCCCTAAAGCTCTAATTCTTGTCCGTTTAAAAAAATTAGCTTAGTAATAAATTGATTTTATCGGGTTTTGAGAAGTTATTACTATACTAACTTTGTTAAACGGACGAGAATTAGATCTTATTTTTGGCATGGAGTAATGAAACCTTCTATACATTTTTTTTTTATTTCATTATGATTAGTTTTCATTTTTTTAAAAAAGTACTCTAAACTGTATAAATAATGTAAAATTAAATTGAATTCATTAGCCAATCGGACAAACTTCTACCTATGAGACCGGATCATACCTCTAAATTAAGGGACTCCATCTTTCGTCTACCAATCAAATTATAAGATCAGGTGTAACATAAAATTTTCAAGAAAAAACGAAGTTTTTGAAGTTTTTCAAAAATCGTTGGTAACTTAAAATTTTAGTTACAAAACCACCTTTCGTATTCTAACAAAAAAAATTTCTTGCAAAATTTTAGTATAATGTTTGTTCGATCAGATCTTTATACTGTTTCAACGACATTTCCATTATTTGATCGAAAAGCAGTATTTTTTTCGTCCAATAGGAACTATGGGGGAAATTAGTAAACCCATAAATTTTACCACACCATAAAAAGTCATCACCGTCCTAATCGAATAACCATATTACAGTATTACTGTCGATAATGTTTGATCAGCAGTTTGACATAAACGAGCGATCCCATAAATATGAAGATACTTTTCTTTATTTCGTTAGACAAATGTAGATAATTTGATTAATTATTCATTTGCAAAAAGGTAACGAAAATCAAATTGTAAACTCACCAAGAAATTTTAATGAAAATCAAATTTTAAACTCACGAAAAAAACAAAAAACATCTTATCTGACAATTTTTTCACAAATGCAACATATTAAATATATGCCATACGTTCTATGTATCTGCATCTTTTTTAGTTTGACATTTCTCTCAATAATCTCAAATGAAGCTTATCATTTTATAAATTTAAAGGATACGGAGAATACGACAATTACAAAAAATGACACTGTGAACGCTGTTAAGGAACACACGACAATAAGGCATTTAGAATTCGATAAAGTATTTAATAAATATGTTGAGAAACATAATAAAATAATTGACAAATTATTAAAACCATCTAATGAATCTAACTTATTAGAACTTCCGAAAGTGATTGTTGCTCAACCAGACATGAATACAGGATATGGAAACCGTTTAGTTGGAGTAGTTTGTGGTTTTTTATATTCACTAATTACTGATAGGTTATTTTTTATTGATGGTTATAGTAATTTTGAAAATTATTATGAGAAGGATTTCGAACATGACTGGAAAATTATTGAATACTTATATCAAAATAGTTCTTCTAGATATTTACATGATAATAATGATTATAATGATTTTCCATTGGTGGCAAGAGGAAACCTTAGTGACGAGAAAACAGATATTTTATATGTTCACACATGGGATTACTCATGTGCTCCAATAATGTCAAATCCTCATTATAAGAATTGGTTTGATAAAATAATACCTGATTATAATGTTTTTTCAGCAGTCAGTCTAAAATTATTAAGATTACACCCACAAATTAGTCAAAAAGTAGAGACTTTTGCTAACAATAATTTTAACGATCACATCATAGGAATTCATTATAGAGAGAAAAAATCACCACATGACATGGTGATACCTATAGAACATTATGTTAATGTAGTGAGGATGTTGTTAGTAGAGGCACAAAACACGAACGTAACTTTATTTGTGGCTGCCGATAATAATAATGGTCTCAAAAAATTAGTAGATTCACTTCATGAAGCAATAAATTCTAATAGTAACGACAGTTCTGTTAAGATATTTCATTCTCAAGATGATTTGGATGCAAAAAATTCTGTAAGTTGGAACACCGGTACAGAAGTAGGCGCTCTTATCGATATAAAGTTACTTAGCTTATGCGATGATTTGGTGATTACATATGGTTCTTCATTCGGTTTTCTTGCAGCAGCATGGTCAGAAAAAGCGTCTCGTAGAAGAGGCCCATTTATCGTAATGCCAATAAAAAATTCGATCGAGGATTTATTAGCTGCTGATAAAGTTTGGGTATGGGGTGCTTCAACAAGTGAACCTTGTATGTACTTGAGCAAATGGCTGATGAATAATGAAGATAAAGAGACCGTTAAAGCTTTTAAAACAAATCCGTTATGGATGCATTATAGTCAATGTCATTGGCCACATAATTATTAAATTGTCAAATTTTCTTTTTTTAAAAATTTTAAAATAACACTATTTATCATTGAGTGATAGACGAAAAATACACGGGTGAAATTTTTTTTAATATATAAATTTTTTTTTTTTTTTAGTTTAAAAATTAACGTAATTTTTCATAAGCCCATTAATTATTCTCATAATTAAACATATTTAATTGATTATTAGTTAATTTATTATATCTCATTCAAATGTATCATCAAACTAATGATCTTATCATTAACATCTCTGCTATGATGACACCGAAATCATAAATCTCAGCAGCTTATGTAAACAGTTTTCTTGTAAAGCTTCTAGACAACTTATTGTAAAATTTAGTGAATACATCTTCTAAATCATTTTCATCAATCTGACAATTTTAGATCTGATAGGTAAATGACACCTTAATTCGCCAGTAAGGTCTTGAAATTTTTTCTTAAAAACTTGTGAGGATTTCCATCACTGACTTTAGGATTACTGTACTTTTTATAAGATCGTATATTATAATCAGTATTAGTTTACTTACTTGCACGAATTAGTATTTTTATAATCTCAATCCATTCAATAAATTTTAAGGATGTTTTTGTTTGAAATTTTATTAAAAATTTAGGAACCCAATTCTGCCAATTCGTCGATATGTGTCCGTAAATACAACTAGAGATGTGAGTGCAATGCCGTAATTTGTCGGAATTCTATTATATTACAGCAAAAAATGCTGTAATTTAATAGAATTACGACAAATTACGGCATTGCTACATACAACATTTCCCCGCATCTTCCCGACAATTATGGTTTTCTTGATTTAGACTAACGTTGGTATAGATTAGATATCAATGAAATGATTATCAAGAAAATCATATAAAGCCCAAATTTCTGTTCGTTATCAATCAAAATTAAATTCTTTTTTTGAGTTCAATAAAAATGGTTCACATATCAACTAACCTTTTTGAAGAAAATGGTCCTTCTGTTTATGATGTTAATTATGTGAGTTTCAACATGGAAGCTATGAGAGATGTTCTGATTTCTAGTCTTGAAAATTTTTGGAAATGTATAGAAGTTAATGCTGATGATTATGTGTTCAAGAATAATATTAAAGATATCAATGTTCAACGTAAAGAATTTTTCAGATTTTTAGAAGGGTCAGTTCAACAAAGTCATGAAATTCGTAGATATTCATCAAAGTTACGAATATTTATTAATTGTTTTCATGAGGATTCATTTTCCAACGATGAGTACTTTAAGGAATTAGATTCATTATTGAATGACACCAAGAAGAATTTAGAGTCTGCTGAAAAATTGCAAGCTCAAATCAGAGAAATTAAAAATGAATTAGTAAGAATTGGGGAAGATATTAATATATACAAAGAAGATATTCAGCATGATCTGGAAAATGTTAAATCAAGATGTAAAGATGATCTTGATAAAACCAAATGTCGGATGAACATATCTGGTTTTATTCGTAATGTTAGCTTAGCACTTGGTGGATTAGGAGTTGTAAGTGGGGTTATTTTCTTAGCTGGAGCAGGAGCAGGTAATCCAATCAAATCAATCGTGTAATATTTATACATTAAAATTTTGGATCTAAATATTATCTTTTTTTATTTTTTTTAGTATTAGGTTTAGCGAGTGAACATTGTCGAAGAAGATATTTATCTCAATGTGATGAGAATAGAAGGCAATTAGAAAATCAAAGAGATGAATTAATAACTAATATTGCTATTGTGTTGTCAAATTTTGAATCATTAAACATGGCAATTGCACAACTCATTGGATATTGGGAGATTCAATCAACAACTATTTCTGACCTTTCGAATAAATTGAATAAAGTAAAAGATGAGCAGAATTATAATAAATTACTTATTAGAGTGATCGATAAAAATATAACAGACTTAGAATCAGATGAACTCTTTTCCAAAAATTTTTGCATCACAATCAGAACTTTAATGACTAGATATGAATCGAGGTGTATGTAAATTCTTTTTATAATAAATTTCTCAATAAATCAATACTAATAAAATAAAATTAATATTTATTTAGTTAATCTCAGGTACTTGACGATTAATAATACATGTCATTTCAATTTTAAATACAGGTGAAAAATTTTTGAAAATAATTTTTTTAAAATTGTATAGATTAATATCTGAAAGAACTCAAACTACTGAATTTTAATTTTGCTCTCACTTCTTACAAGATGCTAATTTGTCAAATGCTTATGTCTTTACTATAGAATAGATTAGCTATTTAAAATTGCCATAAAGGATCTCTTGCAATTATTCGAATGATTACAAAATAAGATCATCGGAGAATAACAGAAATTTACTTTTGTTGGTTTTTTATTTCTGCTGAAAAAAATACTGTTATACAAACTGTTTATATTGTTATAATAAAATCTCTAACCTGAAATAAACAATTTTCATAACTGAAATTATCTAAAATTTAGTAAGATTATATTTAGTTCCATATCTTTCATATAAGTGTTTGAATTAAATGGGATCCAAAGTACATATATCTCCAGTTTCAATTTTACACGAATATTACCACAGAAATCAAGCAAATTAACATTTTTTTTAAAAAATTAATACTTTAACTTTCACAGTTTATATCTTAATGGATTCTAAAGCTATTTTAATAATTTAATGGTCAAAAGGAAATTTAAGATCTCAGCTTTCCTTTAATATTAACTCATTGAAATAGCTTCGAAATATAACTTGTGAAAGTTAAGGTACTAGTTTTTTTGAAATATTAATATGCTTTATTTCTAATTTGATGGCAACCCACGTTAAGAATATTTTCTCAACACTACATTAAAGAAGTTTGTTAGTATTACTTTCTGAAGATGAAAATTTTTGCAATAAATCAAATCCTATTCATAAAATATTATGACTTGTTTATAATAATTTTCACAAGTATGCCTAAATATTCTAGTATTTTTTTTTTTAACATCTCAAAAGAATTAAATAAGAAAATTTACCTGATGTAGTTATTCACATGATACCAGAAGTGCGAACACATCGAACAAAACCAAGACAGTCAGTAAAATTTTAAATTTAAAAAAAGTGATTATTGTATACAGACACTTGATTGTGATATCTATTGTTTGTTAAAGTAAAAAGCCTACCCTTTCCATGATAGAATGTTCCGCTGAGGGTTCTGGTGCCAGTAATGATCCAAATCGTTAGTTAAGAAATCAACTAGTTGACAACTTTTCAACTAGTTGATTTGGAAAATTTTAAAAACAACTAAACAACTGAATCATTAAATAGTTCAATTATGAGATATCCTGTCTGTTCAGGCTAACTCATGGTAATTTGATTGGCTAATTAACAAATTTAATTACATAATATAAAAAGTTGATTAGTTGCAACTATAGTTGGCAACTAGTTGATTGGCAAAATTTTTTTACCAACTTGGAACACTAAGTGCCAGCACATCCCCTCTTCCGGCTTTTGAGGTGTACTCAGGCGCTACCCACAGGTAACTCAACCAAATTATCCTATTGTAGGGTCCGTTAGCATCATCAGTTTTGCCTTACTCTGTTCGGGAGTCCTCAATTTCAGGTAGAGTAATCGTAAGTTTATATACCACCTATGCTTGCTTACTGAAAAAAATTATGGGATTCAAAAAGATCGAATCTAATTGGTCACATAATGTCATAACGTGTTGATCTACGACAGTTTAACATAGATTGACCAATTAGATTATATGATCAGAAGTAACGTGGAAATCACGCGTTATTTAAAAAAGCTGTCCGTAACTTAATAAAACACACTAGTAAAAACAAAAAAATTCCTTGCAACAATTTGGTATAATATTCGTTGCAATCATAGCCTTAACCCTAATATAATTCCTCAGTTACTTTAAAAAATTGGCATATTCGTTAATCTTATTTAGTCAAATGATGTATATCAGTGAAAATTTTGACGATGCTACTGGGTAGTTCAGTTTATGATTGGAGTTTATGTTTATTAGTTGATTATTTGTAACAGAATTTTTTCCAATTCGAAATTTACAAAGTTTTTTGGTTCATTAAACAAGAGCCATTAAGTGTAACTATAAAATAAATATTTTATATTTAGTTTTTCACTTGGTACTCAGTAAGGATTGGAACCGCCTAAAATTTTCTTAATCATTTAATCGTTTAACCGTTTAATTTGGCCGGCATTAAAACAATTCTGTCCTACGTCCAACATAATTCTGCCCGAAACTATGGAGCAATTTTTAAACGGTTAAACGGTTCCAATCCCTACTACTAAGATATAACATTCGTATGATAATTATGAATTACAAAATGAATATAAATGTAACTTTAATCAGCACTTATATGTGGTAGATAACGACCCCAGCATGACCACCAAGGTCATTTACGTAACCCTGTATTTAAAATTTTGATTACCCTAATTCAAAAATAATTCAACAAAAAAATTCCGAATTTTGTCAAAAAAAGCGAAATTCCAAGTTAATAATATTCTATCCTATTAATATAATTGAAAGTGTTTATTGTTACAGAAATACTTTAAACAGCTTTGATTTCCTGATATGAAAAAAGTGTTCAACATAATTCTTTATTTAGGCAGTAAAATGTACTTTATTTCTTCTATTCCATGTTTTTGAAAGATTTTTCACATGTCTCTATAATTTATCATTTTTTGAATCAATATTTTTTAAAACAAAGTTTTTTTTTTATTATGATCAAAAGATTTTTCAAGATTATGTGTATGTCCAATAATCTCTATATGAACAAAGTACAATTAATATATTGTACATTATACATCGTAAAGAGTCTTTTTTATAAATTTCTACAATTTCTAGTCTTAGTATCTGCCTCGTCCGCTTCAGCTATATAATTATATTCAAATAATCAATTTGTGTTAATGTACGTATTATCTCTTATTTAGTTTGTTCAGCTTCTATATAAGAGAATAATTCGAATTTCATTGAATCTAAACTATTAGAATTTTAATTAATGGGTATAATAAATAAATAAATATACATTCGAAAAAATAACATCCATTTTCCAAGAGGATCAATAAAAAAAACTGCTTATTAAAAAATAAGAACAAAGAAATATGTACTGCTTATTATCTATTGACATTTTTCTGTGTTTTTGATAGTATGTGTGTTAAGATTTCCCACTCTTTTAAAATTATCACGCCCTGCGTTCCCTGAATCTATGCCTCATTTAACTGCTTAATACAAATCTTTTTATTAACGTTGGCTTCAAATAAATTGGTTGATTTTTGATGTATAGCAAAAAAATTTTCTTATAGAAAAAAGAAAATTAAAAGTTTCTTTTTTTTCCAGATTATTTACGTATTAATAATCGTTGAAACTCCGTACTTAACTGATCTTGGCGGTCATGCTAGGTTCGTGATGGGTAGATGATTTTGGTGGTATGATTTTAATTCCTAGCATAACTACCAGGATCAGTTAAACCCCTCAAGCAAACCACAATCAGTTCCGTAAAAATGCCATTTATACTCAGCATTATATGAATCTTTATTATGAAAATTTATATTTTTATTAAATTATATGTATTTAAACTCCGTAAGTAACTGATTTGGGTGGTTATACTTGCACAAACCAAGCATCGCCAAAAAATCAGTTCCGGTTTTAAATCTCAAAATTATAATTCCAATATTTTGATTTGTGTATGACAAATTTCGTAATACAGTCAAACCCTTCTATAGGCACCTCTATAGTCACAAAATTAATATAATTACAAACTTATTTTTATACCAATTATTTAGAACTATATGAAAAATACTTTTATATTAGTCACAATTGCTTGTAATACTTATACTGAATTATATACTGCATGTAACTAGGGTAACTGGCATGACTAAGAAATTTTGCATGCCATATAGCTAAAGTTCATGCCACTGGCATGCCATTAAACCACGTGATAGATATACCCAATTTGGATTGGTCAGTTATCGTCTACCATTGTCCAATTTTCTTTCGGAATAATATATTGTTGGGTTCAGAAGTTTGCGACTCTGTCACTCCACAATCCAAAATGTCGTGTAACGTACGATAAGTAACCTTTTCGAAAGAGGGTGTTAGATTTGGCTGGTGGGTG